CTACCAAGAATTTCATTCATATCAAAGAGAGTACACTAAGTAAGATGTTCACACGATGGTAGGCATGGGCTGGGATAGGGATAGGAGATGCAGGTTGAAGGCAACAGACTCTGACTTATGAGCCACTGCTTTGGGAACAGAGGAGATAGAAAGCTTAATTCTGAAGAGAGGAGTATCAGGGAAGAATTCATGGAAGAGGTAGCTTTTGATCTTGGCCTGAAAGACTGAGAAGGGTTTTATGGACTGTGATAAGGACAGCAGAGAGGAACATTCTGCAAGAGAGGAAAGCTTGAAAAAATACATAATAAAAGCCCTGAAGCAGACACTGTGTCAGCTAAAAAGTGAGGAATGTGTGGCCACAGCACAGGTCTGAGATAATGCTTAGCAGGAGAAGTTAGGGCTAACTAGTTTTGAGGGCAGGCTACAAAGGACTGCAGTTTTGGTTTTATTTGGGGGTAGTGAGAAGCCGTGGAGAGGGATGATGTGACTCCAATGTCCAAGACTATGAATAGCTTTACTTAGTGCCCTTAACCACATTTTGGCCACTCCTAATCCAGGTGGGTACAAGAAATGGCCTCACTTCCTGCATCATCCCTCAAATGGATAATCCCAGGGCCCTGCAAGCCTGAGCCCTCTGTCATTTGACCCCCTCCCTCTGCCCTCTCCCACTCCATTCACCCATGAAGAGCCTGCTTCCCAGAGGAGAAAGCCACCCCGCGAGGCTCTTGGGGACTGTCCAAGGTGCTGAAACAATGCCCCTCTCAATTAAAACAACACTCCTTTGAATTACTGGCTCCCACACCATTGTCTCTATTGGTCAGAGAATCTCACTTCCATTTTACAGACTAGAAATAGAACCCCCCCCCCACACACACACACATTTAGCAGAAGCAGAGCTAGGAACTCCATTTCTTGTTTTGTTTTCAGGTGTCTTTTCTCAACTGGTCAGCCCCAATGCAGTTCAACACTGCATGCCCCAAGTGATTCCGGAACTGCTGCCAAGCTAAGGTATAAAATACCCAGACTCACCTCCCACCTCCAACCCCATCTATTTTTCCCAATATTGACATTCATGTCCACCCCGCAATGTCTCCTGGCCTTTCAGAGTGACCCACAGGAGTTTTGGTGGTCTTGCCTGAATAGTAGCTATGCATGTTCAAGGCTCTACTCAACAGAACCCCAGGGTATAGTTTATCTCAACACTTTTCTGGACAGAGGGACAGAACTGGGCTTTAGAGAGCTGACTTCAACCTACTACTTTTGTAGTTCACCAGAAACCAACACCACTTTACTGGGTGTTTGTTGTATTCCCAGCATTGAGTGCTGAAGTTTCTTGCTGCCTGGTAAAGTCTTCTCTTAATAGATGAGGAAATTTAGGCTTATGCAAGACAAGTGACTTGCTAGTAGGCAGGGTGGAGATTGAAAGGCCAGGATTTGAATCAGATTTGTGGGGTTCCATGGTAACCTGTCAATCAAAGCTCAAAAGCAAAAGCAGAGACTGCAGTGCCTCCAGCCACTACTGACTATGTGGTCCTGGGCCAGTCACTTATCCTGAGTTTTAACTCCATTTTTACAAATGGGGACATGAAAGAGCAACTCGGTCAGGCCCTTGGAAGGCCCGATGAAGCACACAGCAAGGCCTCAACTAGTGTTTGCTGCTACTGTGAATATGATCACTACTATGCAGAAGCTCTCTGTGGCTGGATGGGTGCAGATTAGGCTTTCATACCCCTGTTTTCCCCCCATATCCTTGGGAGAGTAAATATTCAGTGTCTTGGGAAGAAAGGAGAAACGAGTGTGAATGCTGCATGCTTAGAAGGCCAGACAGGACTTGCTTTTGCTCTGTATCCTTGTGCCCTCAAGGGTCAGGGCTACCTGGCTGGTGTAGTCACACCACTGGGCTGCCGGGGGTGGTTCTACACTACCTCATCAGCACTTCCTACACTTATGTTCAGCCTGAGCTCATTCTCAGAACTGAGAGACTCTGCTTTCAGAAAACTATCCCAACATCCTCCCTAAAGTGCCCTTGGCCAGGAGACCTCTGCTGGGAAGGGACAGCTGAGGATGTGGCCTCAGCCCATTACTATATTGACTCATCACACAGGACTGATGTGACTCCCATTTTACAGGTAAGGAAACTGAGGTCCAGCAAATTGAAGTGACAAGTCCAATGTCAGTGGGCCTAGATCTAGATCTCCAAACAATCAGAAAAGAGCTCTTTTAATTAGTCTCTAGTTAATTGACCATTCTAAAAATCTTTCAAAGTGCCTAAATTCACAAACCAACCTCCAAATAAAGGCATGGCTAATTATTATTGACCACAGGACTCTTGGAGAAGGGTCTCAACCAAGTCTGCTCTTCTGATTGCCCTGAGCTCCCACTCTTACTATAGCCAGATTCTTGCAGGAAGTCATATTCATTCAGAAGCTAGAGTGAGAGCAGCCTTAATGATTTCCCCCTGCGAGCCAGTGCACACAGGAAGGAGTCAGCTAGATGAGAACAACGGGCTGTTCTGTAATCACCTTTCTGCCCAACACCCAACAGGGCTCCAGAAGAGCCTTTCCAGGTATAATGAGGCTGGGCAGGAGGAGATGGATGGGAATTCATAAGGTCTCACCAGGACAGCTTGGTTCACAATCTATCTTAGCCCCAAGTCCCAAGCAGGCAGGACTCCACAGGGAGATGCTTTGTACAGCACCAAGTCCACTCAAGTTCAAGGGCAGGAAGTCATTTGCATCCCAGATGGGAGGAAGAGAGGCAGTGACCTGGACTCCAGGCTGTTGGAGCCCAGGTCTGGGGCTGTGGGCATGCAGACACTAGCCTCCCGAGGCCTCAAACAGCCTGTCTCCCCTTCTTCTGAGGAGCAGAGACAAGGCAGGAAGTTGGGGACAAGGCAGAGCAAGGAGGAAGCACTCTCAGCAGGCCCATAGGCAAATTGTACGCTCAGACTACAGTAACAGCAACGAACTTCGCCTTTGCTCCTCACCCGGTCCCCCAACCGCACACACACACTCTCCTTCCTTGTTTCTACTTTCCTTCATTTCCTGGCGTCGTTTATCGAGTGCACACAGACGGGTATCTTAGAAATCGCCTTCTCCTGCCACTCGTCATTTGCATGTAAAGGCTCTTTCCCCTTCGAGGGAAGGCCGCGTACAGCCAACTGCAGCATGGGGCCCCACCATAGTTTGGTGTGATCAGTGCACCTCCGCCTCAGGCACCTGCCCACTGGCCTAGGTGAGATTTTTACTTCCAAATGACTCTTCTCTCCTATCCAAATGACAAACCCAGGGCGCTCCTTTTTTCCTATGGAAATTATGGACAAAGTTCACAGCAGTAAAGAAAAATTAGAAAAGAAAACTGCATAAGGAATAGAGTTTCTTTACCTTTCAAAGATGCCACTGGAGTTCATTTTCACCCAGTTTTATCAGTACTGGAGCAGTGCAGAGACAGCTCAACAGTTCTGTTCTGCAGGTCAGGGGCAATGTCCCCATTTAACATGTCCCCAGGTAAACCCTCACACCCCTATCATGACAAGGACTTCCTTGTAGACCAGGGGGCCTCCACTGGGCAGCACACTGGCTTCAGCCAGCCACATCCAGACCACAAATAGTGGCTCCGGCAACAGAGTTTGTTAGTAAGGCTCCCAAGGTGATTCCCGTGGATAGTCCAGGCGGGGTGAGGACCCCCCTCCTCACCACCAGCAGCAGCTGGCAGCTTATTACAAATGGCAGAACCCTGGGCCCCACCCCAGATCTACTGGACTAGAACCTGCCCTTTATTAAGCAAGGTGATTCTCAAGTTTACTCAGTCAGAAGTGCAGTGACACAGTACTTTATACCCACAGCTCACAGCACCTTGCAAGGACCGTGTTCCACAGATGAGGAAACTGAGCCTGAAAGGGGTTAACTCATGGCTCAAGGTCACACAGTCGGTGGGTGAGCTGTGATTGGCACACCCAGGACGGAGCCCAAGGTTCCAGAGGCCACTCTCTCTACTGCACAAAGCACCTCCATTGCACAACAAAAATATGACCCTGGGGAGCCAGGGAGCCAGAGTGTTTGGATCTTTGGAGCCCCCTCTTCCCCAGCTGGGACCCCTTCCACCCTTGAACAGGTTTCCACTTCCAATATCAAGTTCCCTGGAATCAAACCTCATAAAGACCAGCATAATTCATGAGGAAATACAAATAGTAAACAAACACGTGGGAAAAGGTTCACTCTCCCTAGTAATCAGAGAAATGCAAATTAGAGCAACACCGAGGGGCCATTTTCGACCTATGTAATTTAAAAAAAAAAAAAGAATGTTAGCAAAGTTGTTTTGAAATAGGAACATTCACACACAGGGCTGGTGGCTGTGCAGACATATAGGTGAGGAAAGTGATATGGCAACATCCATCCAGAACCATAGAAACATTATGCCCACTGACCTCGGGGAATTCACCCTAAGGAAACGATTCGGTGGGGGTGGGGCACATGTTTCTAGGAAAATACACATTGCAGTATTTGTTGTGAACACTGGAAACAATACTCAGCAGCAAGGGAATGGCTGAGTAAACCGGGGTTCATCAGCGCCTGCACTTTATGCGGCCATTTAACATGATAATTAAGAAACCTGAGCAGCAAATGGGGTGAAAGAAAGTAGAATGCAAAACTGTAGTTGTATCCTTGGTTATTATGATGCAAAAATACGGTGTGGGTCCATGCCCCTCCCCCACCCCCAAAAGACTACTGGGGGCATTTCAGGGTGAGGGGACAATGGCGGGACCCACCTCCTCCTACTGCTTTTACAGTCACCAACCCCAGCAGGGCTGGCTCTCTGAGAACAGTCGTGGGGGGCCTCCCTGCACAGGCTGTCTCTGCGGAGGATGCACAGACAGTTCCAGGCCTCATCCCTGGCAGCAGGGCCACACTCCCCTCTTCTATCCCTACATGAGAGGATCTGGACAATGTTCTCCATGGGAATGAGGGGTAGGGAGCCTATGGACACCCCTCCCATCTTACCATGAAGCCGGGGGCACAGGTGCAGCCCCCCGTGATGCTGTGGCAGTCGCCGCCATTCTGACAGGTGCAAGGCAGTTGGCAGCCCTCTCCGTAGTAGCCAGCAGGGCAGGTCTCATTGCAGTGGTGGCCAGACCAGCCTGGCTGGCAGGTGCAGGCTCCAGTGACCGGGTGGCAGCTGAGCAGAGGAGAGTCTGGTCAGGCATTTGGTTGTGTTCCACTCTCTGCCCACCCCAAATCTGGTCTGCCCAGGGTATGGGATCAAAGGGTCTCTGAGGTTAAACTGCCCCAAGAAACTTGAGGCTGTGGTGGTCACATAACTTGCCTTACACACAGCCACAGAGTAGCAGAGTCAGGTGGCCTGACTCTCAGACGCGTGTTCTTTATAATATACATACACAGAGATGAACGCAGAGGGCAGCCTTTTGGACTATGAGATTCAGAGCTTCACCCACCCCTCACTCAAGGTAGAGGTCTAGTCGGGGGCCAGGCACAAGAAGCTAGCAGTGAGACCCAGTGGCTCTGCACATTGTTAAGGACTCAACAAATATTCAGAGTTTAAATACAGGGCAGATGTGGCCTCTCCTCTCTGGCAAGGTCTGCTTTGGAAGGGGACACCCTCCATCTGTGCTTTGTGAAGCTCTTTAATAGTGACAAACTCTTCTCCATCTCCATCTATCCAGGCCAGAGCCAGGTCCACTTGCTGTTGGCTGGGGTTGCCTGACATGGCCTCTAGAAAGTGGGGCACCCTCTGATGGCAGAGGCCTGTGAACCTATTTGTGATCAGAGAGGATGCCAGGAGTGGTAACCGTGTGCTTCTCAGAGCTTCTGCATAGCTTCTGAATAATTGATCAAGTGTCCCGGATGCTGTGTCTATAAACTGTTAGGACATTTGCTCAGAGGCTGCCCTCCCCTCGGGCTGTCCCTAGCCAGAGCACAGCATGATATTCAGGTTGGCACATTCTTGAAGATCCGGGACTCCTTTATGGGTGACTTTAAAGACTTCTCCCTCTTTCTTAACTTTCTTAAAACTGTGCTGCACAAGAGAATTTGTGATGGTTCATGGGTGAGACGGTGGCAGGAGAGAAAAAAATAAGAGAGAAAAAAAAAAAGGCTGTATTTCAATTATACTTCAATTAAAAAATCTTTCCTACCAAACTTGGTTTCCTACCTCCCATTTGGTTTCCTACTCCCCAAACAAACAAAACTGTGCCGAAGTTTCAGCCTCTGGCACCCAGCCTCCCCTCGCCCCTCCTGCACTTCGGTCCCTCAGCTGCTCGCCCAGCACCCCATCCACGCCGCTCTCCTAAGGAATGGCTCTGACAACTGCCCTCTATTTTGGGGAAGGGTAGACTAACACTCCAGAGAGGGTACTGGATGGCAGAGACAAGTGTCTCAGCTCTCCTGTCACCGGCTTCCCTCGTCCATATTCTGCCCAGGGACCTGGCCCGGAGCTGCATGCTCTGGGCTGGCGGGAGGAGCAGGGTGAAAGCCTTCGTTCTGCTAAGTTCTGCAAGGACGTGGCCTTCATCATCCCGGGCCCTTAGTAGCTCCCCAGTACCTGGCTCATATTCACCGCCCAATTAAATACTTGCGGACAAACAGTACTTTCCCTTGATGTACGGTTTTCCGTGTCTGTAGACTTGTTTGTCTCCCTCACCAGGCGGCTGCTCCGTGGGGAGGGGCCCTTTGTCCAGCAAGCTCACCTCTGCGCTGTACCCCGCGGCCCAACAGAGGCCCTGGCACAGCGGGCGTTCTCAGTACATATCTGGCCAATGAATTAATGAACAAACTAATTGTGTGAAGCCCAGCCAAGCCTTTTCTCTTTTGGGAGCCCTGATTTTCTCATGGAAAATGAGGAATGGACAGGAGCAGACAGTTCCTGAATAGTAAGTGCAAGTAGCTAATCATCATTTGGGAAAATATTTAGGCTCATTAATCATCAAGTCAAAATAATAATTGAATACCACTTTTCCTCTATCAAACCCGTAAAGACTTTAAAAAAGGGACGACACTCACTGCTGGTGAAGGTTTCTGGAAGACAATTTGGAGCTATATATCAGGAGTTGTAGAAATATTCAGGCCCTTTGGTCTCATAATTCCATTTCTAAGAATCTATCCTAAGGAAATAATCATAGTTGTGGAGAAAGATTTATGCACAGAGATGTTCCCTGAAGCATTATTTATAACAGAGGAAAATGGAAGCAATTTAAATAATAATAAATAATATGTGACCGGGCTATTAAAGCAGCAGGCACTCTATACACATATTTCTAATCTTCAAATAAGCCCATGAGTTAGGCAGTACAGGCTCTACTTTACAGACAGCACTTGGAGGTTATGTGACTTGGCCAAGGTCACACCACTAGGCCAGTAGTGGGTGGGATTCTAAGCTGTCTGTCAACTGCCTCATGCAGCCTCTGAGAACAGTGCACTGGGTAAAGGAATCAGAACATTTCAAATGAAGAAATACTAGAGAAATATTCAAATGTTTTCCAAACTCCTTAATGGTATAAGATTAAATGAAATGAGCAAATTATATACAAAGTCAAGATCTAAAATTAGGGAAAAAACAGATACACAGATACAGATGTAGGTGAAGAATGACTCAATTACAATGAAATGACTTTTGTGCTCACCCTTGGGTTGAACAATTATGAGTGATTCTGAGTTTTTCTTTCAATTTCTGTGTATTGTCTAAGTTCCCCAAGCCAATCAGCTATTACATTTATAAACAGATGCAGAGCAATACAAATTATAATGCTGTAAAAGTGAAGAATGAGTGTGAAGGATGAGTGATTGAAAACTTTCTGGCTTCTGGGGTTCCAGCCAAGATCCTTCCTGAGCTCTGCACAGTAGGGCAGAGAGTGGCCCCTTGGTGCCAGGGCAGGGGTGCCTGCTTGGTGGCCCTCAGTCAGACAGGTGCGTGGCACTGCTGTCATTGTCACTCTGTGCACAGCCTGAGGCCTCCTTTGAGGTTCTGGCTTAGGCTTAGGCTTAGAGGGGCTGGTTCTGTCTCTGTTGTGGAGACAGACTGACCCAGGGGGTCAGCCCAGAGGTTCCAAAGTCTCAGGCACCCTCTACTCTCCCCATCCACAGATTCTTTCATTGCCTACACTGGTTATTGTGGGAACACCGCCCTGCAAGTCCCCCACGAGTGAGCTCACACACATGGGTTTGTGGCCTCCCACTTCGGGGTTGCACCTCTGCCTCGAGTCCCTGGCTGCTTAGGGGTACGCGCCGGTGCTGGTTTTACTTTAGACTCTGAGAACCAGAACGCTCAAATCTGAAAACCTTTCTTTCTTTCTCCTCTCATGTCTTAGTAGTTCTATTTTAGAAAACAAGTGTTCCATTTTCATAGTTTGATTACTTGTCATACACTGTAAAATCTCCCAAATCCTCTGAAAAGAGTGACGGCTGACTGAGCAACCATGACCGAGAACAGTGATCACCAAGCTGTCACAGACAACCCCTCCACCGTGTGTCCCCTGCTTCTGACTCTTCTTCCCAGGTGGCACAACCCGTTTCCTGGGGTCACCTGGCAGGCACTTGATTGCTGGTTAGGCTCAGGCAAAAGTCACAATCACCGGTGTTTAGGCCGGCTGGGTTTGTTTAGTTCCCCGATGACACCCCCCATCCCAGCACTCTCCTATTTCCCCCAGACATAGATTAATCACAAGTTAATAGGAGCCGAAAGCTGAACAATACAGGAGTCTTTTCAGGGGGGATTTCTCTGCCTCCCTGTCAGCTGCTCTGAGATTTCTATCAATGCTGCATCTGTTGGCTAAATCAAATCTTTCAAAGGTAATACATGATCATGGCTGCTGGAATTCGTCTATGACAATCCAATTGTGGAGGGGACCCATAAAGGAACTGACCCCAGCGCCTCTTTCTCAAGGTTATCCCTTTATGAGGGAGGCTGGGTTCTTTGTATGTGCTACAAAGAGTTTATAAAGGGAGTAGAATGTTGGGGAATCTCACTAGCGACTTCTTCCTTCCCGGGCACATGAATTTGACCTTTTTGAGGCTACCTCTCCAAAAGGGCAAAAGCAGAGAGAGGTGGGGCGAGTGGGGTCTGGCTTTCTTTGGATGGGGATTGGGAGTACTATGTCTCCCAGGAGAGATGCTCAAGGATTGCAAGGCTTCTTTTTAGGGCTCTGTTGCAAGCTCTTGCAGAAGTTGGGGAGTGAAAGGGAGGGATCAGGCTAGGCTCTTGGGGAATCCATGCTCTATCTATTGGGTGAAAGTTTCATTTTCAAAGGCCATAAGAGAAGTTCTCCCCCAGTGGGCTGAGCAAAGGGGCAGAGTAGGAAACAGACAGAGAGCGAACACATGGCTGAGAGGCTGAGACCAGGTCTCAGGGCCCCAGGTGCCACCCAGATCCTGCAGTGAGATTAGCAGTTGCAGAATGGCCGCACTGTTCCCTTTTTCCCAAAAGGAGGTTTATAAAAGGACAGAACTCAGGGAAGAGAGCTGTGACCCAGATCCAACCAGAGTCGGACAGCTGCTGTGTCCATGAGAACAAAGCCAAGTGTATTACAAGATACAAGAGCCCAGAGGCTCTCGACCTTGGGTAATTTTGCTTTCCCCTCCCCCCCCCCCGCCCCAGGAAACATTTTTCAGTCGTCAGAACATGGGGGCAGGGTGTTGCTACTTGGCATCTAGTGGGTAGAGGCCAGGGATAGAGCTCCACGTGATAAAGCCCCCATAACAGCCCCCGCAATGAGGCATTACCAGCCCAAAGGTCAGTAGTGGTGAGGTTGAGAAACCACAAATTAGACTGAACAAAAACTGAGTGTGGGGGCGCTCAGCCACTGGGGCAGTGTGCCAAGAGAAAGGGGCGAGACATTAAACAAAAGAGGGCAGACATCAACTCAGGAGCAGATGCACCTGGAGGGATGCACTGTATAAGGTGCCCTCAGCGACTCTGTACCGAAGGCCCCGTCTGTGCCAGGAGCAGTGCAACGCGGAGGCTGCACGGATGCACAAGTGGGGCCACCTCTGTCCTCAGGGGCTGCTGTGCACGGCCCTCGGTGAGGAGCCAGCAGGAGGACACTGAGGAGCCCAGCACGGGAGGGGGCTCTTGGAACCCCCTCTCCCAAGAACAGCTACGCTTCCCAATCCCTGAAACGCGACACGCATTAAAGACAGTAAAGCAAATAATCATCAATATTGGATGGGCTGAGATTAGCGACGGAGAAGAGGGAGTCCTTCCAGATTAATAATGCATCGAGGACTCCTTCAGAGGAAGAATAAATTATGCAGGGCACGGCTGCTCAGGCACCAGAGGAAAACAATAGCTCCTTAATTTGAGGGCTGGTTGGATCTCAGTGGCAGGAACTCTCCCTGCCTTGAAACTCAGCAGCAGCCTCCCTCCCTACCCCTGAGTGGTTCTCCCCTGGCTTCCAGCAGGGATGGGGAGCCTGGGCCTGCCCCCCACCACCCATGGGAGAGGTGGCTGCATCTACCCTATCTCCTGACCTGCATGTAGGAGTCCCATGTTAACAGCCTCGGAGTGCTCACCTTGCCCTCCAGACCCAGCCCCGATGGGAAGCCACCTCCTCCAGGCAGCCTTCCCTGACCACAACAGCAATCTCCTGTAGTGCTTTCTGGACACAGTCCCGAGTCACAGCTATTTGGGCACATATTGGACACAGCAGGCCCAGCCACATAAATCTGTCCCCACATTTTTCACATCTCTGGCTTAGGTATGCTATACAATTAATGATCCATTATGACTCCACTGATAGCATTTTCCTTTTTAAAAAGTATATCCAATAAAGCTGTGTTTCCCTTTGAGTGGTGTCTTGCCTTTGCAGCGATGTGGTAACAGGTGCCCAGTGTGTATCAGGCCTGACCCCAAGGGCTGAACTGACTTGTGGGTTCTCAGTGTTTACTGAATGAGTGACAGAGCAAGCAAGTGGACACTCAGAGGGTCATGGAAAGGCCAGTTCTGTGACTCCAGGGCAGTCTCCGTCCCAACTCTCTGTGCTGGTGGGCAGCACCCCTACTGCTCCTCAGCTCCAGGCATGGAGAACGTTCCATCTAAGCCACAGAACTTTCTAAGATGCATCTGCTTGCAGTGGCCAAGTGATTTTATGGCGAATCAAACTCTGGAAATGAAGAGGGGCGGAGGCCACATCGCAACTGCCTCAGTGCCAGCCTGCAGAGCTCAGTTCTCTTTGGCCTCAAACAGCAGCAGTGTCCACTGCCCAGAATGGACGGTCCTCCTGAACTGTTGTGCAGGCCCCATGGGGAGAAGGGAGACTCCTCCACCCAGAAAGAGGTAGACAAAGGGCACGGGTGGCACTTTTCAGGGCCTCATTAACTACCAGAGGGTGGGTCCAGTTGCTACAGGAAGCAGGAAAGAGAATGCTTCCCCCATTCAAGCTCCTTTGGAAGCAGGCACAGGGCCAGCTTCAGACCAGGGGTTCCCAAGTCCCCAAGGACACAGGGTGCAGGGAGACCTGACCTCCCTGTCCTCTGTCCTAGCCGGAACCCACAGGGACAGCTTCTCCAAGCCTCAGGGTTAAGTCATACTGATTTTTAATGTTCCTTCTAGAACTGACCTCCTGTGGTTCAAGCCCCTACTCTGCCTTGGTGATCTTAGCGCTGGGCTCCTGGGGAGTATGTAGAGAAGAAATGTTCTCCAGGACAGTGCCCTGAGAACCTGGGGCACCCCCACCCTACTTCCAAACGTCACCAAACCCCCTCCTTCCTCCTGTGGGTAGCTCTCAGGTTGGCCTATTTCCAGCACCAGGCGACTTGGGTTGTGGTCTTGTGGCCTTCTTTTCAACCTTTTAGCAAAGGTGATCATGAGGTCACAACTCTTGCTCCACTCTGTCTGTCTGGCCAGAGGTGGGGTCTGTGGCCTGGGAAGTCCCTTTCCCACCAGTGCCCGCCTGCCCCACCCCGGGGCTCGCCCATCCTTACCCAGCTCCTACCTGATGGTGTTGTCAGGGTCACACGGGCAGGGCAAGGAGCAGCCTGGGCCGTGCAGGCCCTCGGGGCACAGTCGCTCCTGGCAGCTGGGGCCCTTGTAGCCGGGCTCACACTCGCAGGCGCCCGTGGTCGGTGAGCACTGGCCCCCGTTATGGCAGTCACAGCGCTGTGAGCACTGGAAGCCGAAGGTCCCAAAGGGGCACTCCTCTTGGCACCTGCAGGACAGCAGAGCGGGGCTAAGGCTGTGGAGGCCTGCACCTGCCCTGCCAGGTGCCCCAAGCTGGGCTGGAGTGCCCCCCCACTGGCTCCAGCCTGCCCCCTGCCGGCTCGTCTCCCAGGAAGCAGCCGGGAGTGGCTCACCCAGGCCTGCGCCCTGAGTTTGGACCACCTGAGTTTGGACCACCGTATCTCATTGAGTCTATTCCTCCTGTGTTTTTTTTTCCTTTTTTTTTTTTTATGACAGCAAAACACGTAACATTTACCAGTTTTAAATGTTCAGTTCATTGACATTAATACATTCACTCAGCTGAGTGACCATCCCCACAATCCGCCTCCAGAACCTTTTCATCTCCCCAGACCAACTCTCCATACCCATTAAACACGAAACCTTATGTTTTAAAAATATATTTTAACGTCTCAGAAATCAGCTCAGTCTTAGAATGGATGGCAGGTCATAGCTTAATTATTGGTGTCTTTTCATTTTCGCAGTTTCTAAAATAATGATGCACCTTAGGCTTGATGAAATGAGGTCATTTCTTTTCTCCACTTTGTTTTCTCAGGTCTTTGGAGCAGATACATAGTCACACCGGTCATACAGGGAGATGTGTCTCCCCTGCCACTGAGGAGTGCCCGAGTAGAAGGTAGCCTCGCTTCAGACTGGAGAACCCCCTGCGGCAGGGGCTGTGTCTCTCACTTCCTTGGCCTGGGAGCCCCCCACAGCATTAGCTGAGGCTCTGCCATCAACTTGTGAGTCGGCAGGGCTGGTCCCCCTGTACCTTCATGCTAGTACTCAGAGCACGCAGCATAAAGATAATTGTTCAATTTCAGGCCCTCCCTGGTGGTGCAACAGGTTAAGTGCAGCACTATGAAGCAACCCGCAGCCACTGAGGCATGAGTTCGGTCCCCAGCCAGGGGGGTGACCCACATGGCTCAGCAGACCTCTCCTGTCTCACCTGCTGCCCCCCTTAGCACTGTATTTCAGTCGATCTACCTCTTCTGCTCCCCAGCTTCTCTGGTAAATCCTCTAACCCCCTGCACCTCTGGCTTGTACCCCAGTTCTTGCAAGCATATATAAATCTTTTTTAAAAAAGATAATTGTTCAATTTCATGGACAGCTTTTGGTCTCTCTGTGGCTAGTACTCCCCTGGGTATGCCTGGCACCCCAGTCCAACCTAAACCAGGGCTGTTTCCCAGGACAAGCATATTCATTGTGAAGAAACTGAATTCCGACAAGTTAAGCAGTGAACCTGGCAGCATACAGGGTGTCCTGGAGAAAAGTGGAAATGGCCTCCAGACTGTGGGTTTGGAGTATATGCATCTCCACACTGTTTCAATGGCTGGGAGAGTGGGGAGCGGCCTCACCACGCTGACGTCTGCTTCCTCCCCACGTCTGCTTCCTCCCCCATTAAATGGGAAGGTACTAACCAACCCTCCCACGGTTGTTTAAAGTGTAAACCAGACAGTGTGTGTAATGTCAGCACAGGGGAGGGCTTCATAAGATGTACTATGATTATTCTCTTGCTAATACTATTTTCTGTAGTTCTTATTACAGAGTCTTTCTGATCTTCTGCCTCAAAGTCTGCCAAGTGTTTTCATTGTCATATTTTCCCATTTTCTAGACTTTTTCCTATCTTCTGCTATAATTGGGAGGTGGGTGTGGGAAGTAGGAATAAAATGCCTTAAAAAAATTCAGCTCTCGCTTCTTTATAAGTGTTGAGAATCTTCCGTTGGAATCAGTGTTCTCCACAGATAGGACAGGGATACCCTGTGTTGGGGTGATCTGGGTTGCCCATCTATGGGTGAGTAGCCCAAATTCCAGCAATGTGCCAAAGCTGGCCCGAGGGTACCTGGGAATAAAAGCAGCCCCTGTGGGCCGTGAGCCTCACACGGGGTGTCTCTGTCTTTGTTCCGGCATGCTGTCTGGTGTCCACAATGAGAAGGGTAAGGGCGACTGAGGCCTGGCCTTGAGGGCTCCCTCACGGGAACGTGCCACTCACTCTCCTCATGCCTGCAGCTCCTCACTGCTCAGGCCCACAGCCTGTCCGCACCTACCCAAGCAGCAGGCATTCTTACACCCTCACTGGGTGTAAGAGTTGAGGCGGCGAAGAGGCAGCAGGTGAGAAGACTGTTCGCAAGAGGCTGAGCTAACCTCAGAGTGTTTTACTGCAAATCCTGTTGCCTTTTATCAACCTAAGATCTTGTGAAAGGCAAAGAACAGAAAAGAGGAAGAAAGAAGGAAGGGGATGTCCGGAAAAAGAAGGGGAAGTGAAAGAAGGGAGGGAGGAGGCAGAAGGGGAGGACACAGGACCCTGAAGATCTGGAATTATCTGGTTTCTCTGACCCTTTCAGCCTCAGAATTCCACCCCCACCCCCAAGTTTCCCAGCATGGCTCTTCTGGGATGGCTCAGATGTTAGGCAAAGGCTTGGTGCAAACTGGGGACACCTGACTCTTTCTCCCTTTCCCTGGAACATTCTGGCTTCTCCCACCCACAGGTCAGCAGGCCCCGTACCCTAATGTAGGGTGCTTCCCCTGCCTGCCATATTTATGAAGTGACTGACTCCTTAGCCCCAGAAAAAGAATCTGCAGATGAAATATTGACAACCTAATCCATTTACATAATCAGCCTTGTTTTTTTTTTCCTACTCACAATTTAAACAACTTATTTATTTAGAGATCAAGCAACGACTGTTAATGAATTTTACACAAAGCACACTAATAGCGGGGCCTGTGGAACAGAAGGGTAATCACAGCAGGAATTAGTTTTCTACTTAAACATCCTTCCTTTGCAACATATCAATCTAATGTGTCCGATATTACCATTAACAACCAGATACATTGCTCAATTAAATTACAAAATGAGCTGCAAAGCCCTCGTTACGTTTCGTGTTTAATTTGCATTGGATTCTGCCTATCCGGGGAGGCCTACATTATTATACCCACTCAACTTTAATATGCTTGCGATGATTTGGGGTGGGTTAATGCAGCTGTCACCTACAAAATTAATGGAGGTAATTTTACAAAATATTAAACACCAGGCAGCCCGTTTAGGGGGGAACCCAAATGCTACCCGATCTTCTTCCTATTGAACGTGCTGTAGTGATTGGCAAAGCTTGCTGGAGGGCCTGCGGCTTTGAGGATCTTTCTGTGACCCACAGTCATGAGTCAGACCCCAGTGAGAAAAGGGATTAAGATTATTTCTCCTTCTGAGACATTTTGACAGTGACGGTCAAGAGTCAGCAGGGTAGGGCTGTATCAGGCTAGTGGGAGCCCGGGCCTGCTCTTTCTCCAAGTGGGCTGAATCATGTGAAAGCGAACCGAAACGGAGGGCCCCCATTCTGGTCCAGGGGTCTCTGTTTCCCATCCTGCTGGCTCATCCTGTGGATTTCCTTATTGCAGGAGATGGTAAGGATGGGAAGGGGGTCAGCTCTCCCTCCCTTGAGTCCCCAGAAACCCAGTTTCTGACAGATGTCAGGGAGGGATGGACCCCTAGATGCCACAAAGATGAACACTCACACAGATGAATAGCGGCTCATGAAGAGATCACATCTGGCCTAAAAGACTTTGGATGAGAGGGAATAGCAATGGACCTCTCTTCTCACTACGCATTTGGAGCTGACCCCAGGGGGAGTCAGCGCAGCCCCACTCTGCTGGGCCCTGCAGGAAGGACTTCTCATGGTTGTTTCACCCTCCATTGCCGTTCCTTTATGTTCCTTGTGCAGGGGAGGCAGAGAGATGACTAACAAATGTTCCTTGTCACCTTGTCAAGACAGATTAACAAAACCCAAATCTGGAGATGCAGGGGTGTGAGGCCCTTTCCTCTGATGGAGACAGACGTGGCTAAGAGTGAGGAAGCACAGGCTGGGCCAGCTTTTGTGGGTAGATGTCTTCGTCCAGCTTTGAATTCACTCAGCTCCAGTGAGCTGGCTGCCCCGCCCAATTCCATGGTGCCCAGCCTTTCACCAGGGCGTCCTTCTTCCTACTGTGGCAAATGGGCATGTACCGTCATCCCTCGGTTATGTGTTTCGAGACTTGTCCAGGCTGGTTTGGTTCCAGGACCCTAATGCCTTTGTGCAATCTGCTCTCAGGCCACAGGCCTTTCAAGGGTGCACAGTGGTATCAGAATCTTTTTGACTAAACTCAAATGAAGAATAAAAATCTACTTATGGTGCAAATAAATGTACAAGCTCATTTTACTCTCTCGGCTTCTTTGGATGATGGCTGCCTTTGTCTCCCTCCTGGAGGGCAGAGTCAGAACCGGTGGTAGGTGCTCAACTCCTTCCCCAGCAAAGTCAATGCAAATTCAGGGCTCCTATCACAGGGCTGGGGGTGGGGTATATTCTTCAGGCCCAGACCCAGGAAGGCTGAGTTGCTGAATCTCCCTGGCAGGAGGACCCAGAGGGCTTTCTGAGGGAGAGAAGGGGAAGCTGGCCCTTCCTTGGCCTGGTAAAGCTCAGCATTCCCTGCAAGGTTTGGTGAACACGAGCAACATAAATGGCAAGGACAGTAGTCAGCATATCCTTACCTGTCCCCCATGTAGCCAGCTGTGCAGTGGCACTGCCCAGTCACATGGTCACACTGCCCTCCATGGTGGCAAGGACAGTCCTGGCTGCAGTTCTGGCCGAAGGTCCCTGGCGGGCAGGGCTGGGCACACACTGCTCCCTGAAACAGAGGAGGGGAGATGCGTGAGTGCTGCTTCTGAGATGAACCTGAGGCCAACCTTCCTAGCAGTGGCCCAGCCACTCCAACCCCAGAAACTCCCCATTCTCTCCATGGGACTTTCTCCCCAACCACAGAAGCAGAGGAAGTGGAACCTCATGGCTCCAAAGCCCCATCCCAGAGATGAGGCAGACTGAGGCCAGTTTGCTCATCCACTGATTCAGCACACAATTAGCAAGTGCTTATTTTATAACAGGTGCTGTGTTAGACTCTGGGAAAAAATGAGTGAGATAATTCCTGTCCTCCGAGTGTACTGAAAAGAGAGAGACACACACAAACAAACAAAACAAAACCCCCCCCAAAAAAACAAAACAGGTAAATGACACTGTGGGATTGGAGTCCAGTCTCAGGCTGGCCTCCAGTAAGGTGCTGAGAGGACAGTGACTAATATGGTGGTCTGGCTTGAACATGCACCCCTGGAGACAATGCTACTGCCTTTTCAAATCCAGCTAACATGAGCGCAGAGAGGCAAGGAGGAAGGAACAGGAGAGGAGATTGTAGAGAGCAAGAGGTGTCACAAGCCAGAAGATGGAAACGCGGGTGATGGCATAGTAACAGTTAAGGACTCTGTTCTCACAGCAATGCCTGGTGCCAGCAAAGGCAGTGTGAAGAGACAGCAGGCTGCTTTGTCACTCAGGAATCCCAGATACCAGGAGCCTCTGGAGGCCAAGGGGTAGCTACAGTGAAGAGTGGAGCTATTAGAAAGTTTGTAAAGAAGGAATTAGGGTCCAGATCTTCATCTCCACATCTGATAATAACCAGGTAACTACCCAAATTTGATAGAGGCTGTCTATTTACTTATTGAGAAGTTGACCCACATAGGCTCTGGGCACAGGGGTATTTAACTAGGGTTTGGGGTGCCAGGAGAAGTGGGGAGCCCTGTGGAACTCTGAACCAGCAGACCCTTTGTTCCCAGAATGCTGATGACCAGGCCAGGTGCCCTCTAGTAGTGTTCCTTTCTGGAAGCTCAAGAGGTAAGACCTAAGTTACTAATATATGTTTTTTAAAGATTTGTTTATTTATGCATACAAGAACTGGGATATAGGCCAGAGGTGCAGGGGCAGTGAGAGGCTTCACCAGAGACAGAGTGGGGAGCAGAACAGGCTAACAGTGTATTGAAGTAAACTGCTGAGGGGAGCAGCGGGTGGGTCAGGAGGCACCTGCTGCACCATGTGGGTCACCTCCCTGGCCGGGGATCAAACTCGTGCTGCAGTGGCTTTGGACAACTCCATAGTCCTGCACTTTAACCCACTGTGCCACCAAAGAGGTCCCTACTATTGCTAGTATTTGAGGGTTCCTTTAGTCAACAAACCTGGCAGCTCCCCAAACCCTGAGGCTGGCGGTTGACTTTTCTGAGGCTCATTGTAAAACATGAACAGGTGGTCAAGGGTCACCAGATATTTGAATGAAGGCTCTGACATGACAGATGAAGACCGAGGCAGAGAAACAGGTGAAAGGAACACAGCGAACAGCAGCTATGTGGGGAGCAGAGAAAACGTTCAGGAAGAGAAGGAAAAAAAGAACTGCATTTCATCACAATAAATATCCTTAGGTAGTTCCATGAGGATCCTGAATTTATGAAGAGTAGAGTGGTGTAGAGGACAAGTAAGAATTTCTGACAATTAAAAATAAGATGGCAGAATTATAAAAAAAAAAAAAATTGCAAAAGGAGAAGTGAAAGGCAGAGACGAACAAACCTTCCAAAAGTAGAGGTAGACAGAGAATATGAGTATCAACTGAAAAAAGTTGCGAAAACTATATTAGAAATAGAAACTCAACCCAGGAGGTCTGACATCTAATTAACAGGAGTTCCAGAAGGTAGAACTGAGAAAACAAAGGTGAGTAAATTAAATGGGAAACCGAAGAACATTTACCAGAACAGAAAGATAAAAAGCACTGATTTCCAAATGGAAAGGGTCCATGGAATAGCCACTACAAATGTGAAAAAAGACTCACACTTAGGCTTATTATTGTAACTCTTTCTATCTCTGTGGATAAAGAAATTATCCTCGAAGTTTGTGGAAACAAGAAAACAGTCACATACAAAAGAACCAGCAGCACAAGGTATCAGATG